AAATTGTACTTGAATAAGGTAATTTTGATAATTTTCTAGCAGCTTACTAGAAACGGTAGATAATTTGTTATAAACAGTAAAAAATATGAAGGTGAAAATGTGAAGCATGAACTCGTTTTTAACAAAATCTTGATCTTTTACTTGATTTTGTGGGTTAACCAAATTTTATCTAAAATCGACCTTTCAAATACAATTATCAATTTTTCAATTTATATTACGTAATATGTCTCCACCAGTATAGGCTAACAATATTTAATTTAATATAATATTTTCCCAGTAAACAAACCTATTTAAAAAATAGGCTTAAAACTACCTTTTTTAGTACAAAAAAATATTTATTTACTATTCATTATTTTGTTTCAGCTGTTTTAAAATGTCAGTCAAAAAAGTGCTCCGCATTTTTAATCCTCATGCAGTCCACATGGTCATTCTACTAACATTGTGTTATTTCTTAGTGCAACTAGTTTTCAGTCATGTATCGCATTCACTCACCTTACTCGTAGACTCATACCACGTGCTTTGCAAGCTAATATACTTTTTTGGATCTGTAGTGTGTATTAAGGTGACTATATACATATAAATTATACTTACCTACGAATTTATTATACAAAATACAAATGGTTTTCTCTATTCACGATTAATATTTAATATTACCAAATGGATTTATATAATACATAACAATTAACAAGTGAAATTGTATGATTTACTACAGCACAACGATTATGAAGAGGTGTGTTCGAACGAAGGTTGTGTGGAAAAAATCCTCAACGTGGAGGACGATTCTCCTGCGTCCAACTTGACAGTATCCAAGTCCGGTCAAATATCGTCTTCCAGTGTGAATATTGCCCATTATTCATCAGGGATTTGTAATATTTTTATCGCCATAATTTTTTCGAACTCTACAGTGCGTACATCGTCATCCTGAGAAGAAATTAAAAAACACATTCGGATGGGCAAGGATTGAAGTGGTCTTAATGCTCGGTGGTTGCGTGTTTTTGGCGTCCCTTAGTTTCTCCCTGGTGGTCGAAGCTATTCAAACTCTCATACACATCGACCATCAAGATCCAATGCATCAACCGATATCAGTGTTCATCATCGGTGTTGTTGGTATACTCCTCCACGGACTGTGTTATTTATTACTAGGAGGTTAATAAAAAAATTTAATAACTCTAATATAATTAATTATAACCACGCGTGCATGATATTAATGTATTATTTTCTATACCATTTACTCAACTATTCTTAGTTAAAGGGGCTTACCMTCCTGAAAATGTATATTAGCACTATTATATATATATTTTATATATATTCAAGCTGTATTTATTTGGTAACTTGTAAGGATCAACGAAAATTTTATATTTAGTTGCGCCAATGGTTTCTGCTTGAAACCTAAACAATTATACACAGGGTGAAACTTATTATTTCGAGTAATATAAGGAATTTTCAATTTTTTTTTTTTACTTTAAGTATTTTTCTACTACTTAAACTTATTTAAATTTTTTTCTATTATAATTTATAATATAAGTATTTGTTTTAAAAATTTAAACCATCTTATTCATATATTATACATATATTTTCAGATAATTTAATGCCTGTTAAACGATAAAATAACCACCCTATGTATTCTATGTTGCACTAAATGATTGACATTTTCAATGCAGGTCCGGTAGTACAAAACGCAAAAGTTCCTGATGAAGAATGCGCCAATGCCCTTTTAAATTCTGGGCAATTACTGAAAAAAAAAATACAAATRAAAAACTGCTGTCCAAGAGAAATATGTCGAGATTTAGTTGGTAGAATATTTTTKTAAAAAATAAAGGAAAACAGTAAATTTACAATAAATTGAATAACATTTTTGTGTAGGTTGTTCAATGGTAATGATATGTTCGATCGTTGTATTATTCACAAATCCTAGCATAGCAAAGTTTGTTGATCCTGGAATTTCAATCATTTCGGCAGCAATATTGCTCTATCTCAAATATCCAAATAGTAAGTAATTTTTGACAATTAAAAAAGTAAACCCCCGATCTCAATTATTTATATTAATTGTTTCAAAATTATATAATATAATGCAATGTAGTTAAATTAGTAAATTTTAATATTTTAGTGAAAGAATCATGCCTGATTCTTCTTCAGACAATGCCTGATCATATGAATATTGATGTAATTTGCAAAAACCTGATGAAAACATTTCCAGACATAGTAAACGTACACGAATTGCATATATGGCAACTGAACGAAGATAAGATAATTTCCACTGCACATATTATGTTTCTTAACCCTCAAGTAAGTTGAAAATAAAATGGTTTTCTTTTAAGTACCTATGCCTATATTTCTTTTGGATTGAATTAATAAATAATTGCAATTTTTTTTTTATTTCAAGGATTATTTGAGAATAAATAAAGCGGTTATTAACTTTTTCCATGAAAATGGCATTTTAGAAGTAACTATTCAACCAGAGTTTTTCAAAGACGACCAGAATATACAAATGGTGCCAGAGTATGGTATGGGACAGTGTTTGGTGCAGTGTAATAACATTGAATGTTTCGATAGAAATTGTTGTGAACCAGATGATATCGAATCAATTCAACATTGTTAAACTTCATAAGTAAAAAGAAGGGTTCACATTCCGATACCGCGATACATAATGTACCTATATAATATTTATTGTGTTCCTTTTGGAGTTGAAACAATTGTCTTGCTCGCCAACATTAATCATCATTTGATTAACCTTTACAAATATTCAAAAAGTAAATATACCAAATTTGATTAYCTTATAGGTACCTATACCATGTGCAAATGGGTTATATTGACCTTATAATTATATATATATTTTTTTCAAATGGAAAATACGTTCCTATGTGTACTCATTATTGTGTGACTGTGAATGTATTTATACTGAATCGTTATTGATTATTGTTTAACAAGTACAAAATGTATTTGTTTTTATTATAATTTTATTTTTGTACTATAAAATGTTATTAAAAATGACAAATACCAATAAAATGTTTCACTGATTGTAACATAATATTATTATTATTATTATTATTATTATTATTATTATTATTATACATTGCACATATTTAAAGCTTTATTTAAGAAGAATACGTAAGCTTCATTTTTCCTCGAAAAAATAGCTAGCCATGGTAAAAATTATATGATTTGTATTTGGTATATGTAAGTACTCGTAATATACAATTATAGACTCTTTATATAGAGTTAAAAATGTCTAATAAAATATGAGAATCTGTAAAATCTATAAGTAAGTAACATCACAGTGTGATGTCCATACTCATCAATAACAATATTGGCTCCACTAAAGTCAGAATAATATTTGGCAATCATATTCATAAATATGACTTATGTAGTTATGTCTAATATAACTTTTCTTGTATTAGAAAATGGCCATACTACATAGGTCAAATTTCATTTTCCGATTTTCATATACCTAAACTGAGCAAAACAAAAATGTCATAAATAATTCACTTGAGAAAGATTGTGTTAATTATTTGATTAGTTTTTTTTTGTTTTATTTATAAGTATTACTATAATAATGGTAAAAAATGTATTAATTTCCATTTATTGTTGGGCTTACAGTAAGCAGTGGGTTCAATAATTGTTCATAGCGTAAGCTATGATCGATCATCAATTATTTTGCAGTGTTGTTAAAAGGATATCAATGCACTGTTTCTTTTCATTTTGTGACCCATAACAAATTTGAGTTAGCAGAACCAACTTTGTACCTTTAGTATTTTAGTGAATTTATCTATTTATATTGTTAATGTATAGAGTACCTATTAGAGTGAACATAATGTGAATCATACCATATAAGTTCTTAAATCCAAAAAACTAAAATACTGGTCAAAACCGCAAAATGCTTAAAGTTTATCGTTTATGTAGGTAACCAAAAACTTTATATGTACTTTAAAATGCATTTGTGATAACTAAAAATTGTGTTTTTTTTGTAAGTGTAAAATATATAATTTATACTTAATTTTACCGAGGGAGCAATAGTGTCGATTTACGCACTAATTGAGATAAATTGACTTACATATTTTTTATAAAACTTGTTTACAATTTATTTGGATAAAATAAAAACAATATGAGTAATCTCATGCAGACTTGATGAAAAAATTAAAATCTGTAGATATTCCGTGTCACTTCTCTCAGACAAATCGGCACCTACCTACATTGGAAATAGAGGAATTCTAAGTTTCCATGTTTCGTGTGTGTTACTGTGTTGGAAAAAATAGATCATTGCCATTTTAAATCGACTAAACACATTAACTGATAGACATATTAATATATTAATTGGTCCACGATAATTGCTAAAACACGCCACTATAAGGTTATCATAGAAACTCATCTTAACGGATTACACATATAGATGATTATATTTTTAATATTGAATCATCTATAATTGAATAATGTATTTTATGGATTATTAATCGTTCTATAATGAAGGAATAGTTTATTCTGTTTCCTTAAGATGTTAATTATTATTATTTAGTTATAGGTACCGGTGGTCGATCAAACGTAACATAACTAAAACTATTATAAAGTCTTAAACATTTTATTGGCACCGTGGTCTTAGATAAACAATAAAATATATTAATTATTTAATACACCACATTAGGTACCACATGATATTATGATGATGTCAGCGGCACAATTTCAATAAGAGTGCTTAAGCTGTGCATTTTCTTACTTTAGTTTTTTTTTTTTTTGAAGGATACATTTTAGATACATAAGCATGAACATTCTTGAGCGTGCTAATTTTACAAATGGGGGTGTTAATACCCACTAAGCCCCCCTTATTTGCGCCAATGGATATTAGTGCACTGTTTGTTTTCTCTTCCTGGCCCACGCGCAACATGGATAAAATGAATTTATGCAGAATCATTTTTTTGTATGTTTTTGAATAATCTTAGTGTAAAATCACCCATTAAAAAAAAAGATTGATTATATTATTTTTGAAAGAATGACATATCGACTTATCTAAAATATTGTCTCAAAATAATTTAAGCATATTTAAATTAAATTAAATTTTTAAACACTATAGTAATATTGTTTTTAAATTTTAAATATTTTTTAGACATTGTCAACTGTTTATAATATATTATCCTCTCAATCTTTCGTGTTATAACCTATTACCTATACAACATTGCGAGTGGCKGCTGCACATGAATTGTATGAACATCGATAAGTGCAGGGTGCCAGGGTACCTACACGAATTGCGTCCGGCCAAACGACTACCTACACGAAACGTATTCGGTGACCGGTTTTATCTAAACGACTAGATACACGATATTATGTAATATGTATAAATATATAATATATTAGAATATAGAACATGTAATTAAACACAGACTGATGGTATATGAAAAAGAAGATTTTTCGAAACAAAATATGAAAATGACCAACTAACAAGTCTGTATCAAACTAAAAAGGGTATTATTGTTCAAGTTTTACCAATCTTTTTATTTTGATTRTTTTATATTTATATCTTTTTTTTTTAAAACTATTTAGTTACATTCCTGCAATAATTTAAACTTATACATCATACTAGATACTGATATAATTTACCTATCACTTCTAAGTTCTAAAACTGCATGACAACGACAAAAGTCATTATTTATATAACCTACCACGCGATAGTAACAATTTGCTATTGACAGTTTAAGTCTGAATAAAATGGAAAGTAATGTTTCTACGCCGAGATGCAATTATTCGTGTAGTGATTAGTATCATCGGGACGCAATTCATTTATTCATGTGAAAAAGGGATTTCTGGACACAATTCGCGTACACCCGCGAGACGCGTATTGGCGGAAGCCTGTTGGAATGTGCAAAACTGTTAAGTGTAAAGTAAAGTATAAAGTGTAAAAAGTATACTTATCTATATAGYCACCAAGTAGAGGACGTGGCTGTTTAATGGGGGCCATTTTAGGGTTGTGTGTTTTTTATTGTATTGTTTGATCGTACTAGTTAATTGCTATTCGGTGTCTATTATTAATTTATTACATTAGCTATGTACCTAATATGCAGGTTGTAACAGGAAGACCTGATAAATAAAACAATTTGTTCTAATTAATGGTATTTTTCTATTTTTTATTTTCATATATTCATATTAACTAATGCTTGAGCTAAACGTACTTGTAGTATGACATTTATTTATTTTATTTTTAATACTGAAAGCAAAAAATACACTTTATATACATAATACTGTGCCAAGTCACGCGCTCTTCTAAATTTATATACACTATCAAACACGACGTATTTCAAGATACGTGGGCAGCCGCGATCACCACTCACTACGTCGCGACATAACACATTTTCGAGGTCAAAATTGTAATTTATAATTCTCTTATTTCCGGCGAATTTAAATATCTATGAGAGCTAGTTATTTAAATGGTAGGTGCTATGGAGTAATTTAATACCCATCCAAGTTTTTACACTATATGTTCGGTTACTAAACGATAGCTTATGTACCCTGCAGGCTCCTACCTACTTTCCCAACAATGAAATTTATTTATTTTGTAAATATTATAGTTTATTTTATATTACATTAGTGTAGGTGCCATGTTAAAAAATGTACTAACAAAATGTAACTGTAGTAATTAGTTATCTAACGAAGAATATATATATAGAAAAAAAAATAATAGATATTGATGAGATAGACACTTCAGTGCCAGTAGGTAAAATATGTTCATAGATAAATCAATAATATTCGAACATATATGGTATACAATAATGTATCTATATAGGTACTATGTGCAAATGTATGTTCAAAGTTTCAAACCCTTCACAACAAAAAATTTAAAAAAACATATATGTATGCAAGGTACAGCAGTACAAGCCTCAGACGTAAAGTGTGGACAATTTTTGCCCACTAACTAACTGCATGAYGACTGATGAGTAGGTATGATGAGATACACAGTGTCGTATATATAAAGGGAGTGGGAGTTAAGTAATAGTCTACACTAAATTTTTTGATGTATTTACTATAGAAAAAATTATAATTAATTAGGAACCTGTAATTAATTTATAATAAGCTACAAGAAATAATATATTAAGACGTATAGTACCTAACTACAGTAGTTTAACATTAAGGAGACGACGTACCCCGGTACCCGCATGTGTTGTCCCGTCTCAGGTATAATGATAAATGCAGATATAATATACATGGATAAATAATATACTAAATAATGCATAATATTTCAAAATGTATTTCCAACAGTTCCAAATTGTTGTTGTTAACTTAAATATTATAGTAAATTGTGCTATTAACAAACATAAATGCAATATTATTTTCTGCAGTGTGTTCTCTCATTGGATTTTTACAATATTTCACAATGATACAAGAATCCTTCTTCTCCAAGATTAGATAAAAATCCATTTCAAAAACTTTAGGAATTCTAAGGGAAAAAGTTTTACTTCTATAGAATTTAGTTTTTTGTCTAATCAATAGCTGTAATTAAACAAGTATGAGAGTACCTATTACATAACTTATTATATCTTACAAAGTTACTTGAGTAAATAAAATAGGTATATAAAAATAAAGATTTTCTGGCTAATTTTTTTTACTTAAATGAAAATTTATTTAAGACTATCTAACCAGATAGTTTCAAAGATGACCACAATATAAAACTGTACCAAAGTAAAGTATTGGATACTGTAATAATATATATTGTGTGTTTTGATAGAAATTGCTGTGAATCAGATATCATTGAATTGGATTCAACTTCAAATACAATTTCATAAGAAAAAGCTATTTACAAATAGTTTACATATCAAATACACATAATTCTTTTAGAGTTATACCTAACGATTATCATGTTCACCTACAATAATTTTTTTTGATTATTATTTAAATAATTTATTCAAAYAGTATAAAAATATGAAATTTGATTACTTTACAGCTTATTCTATATTATGTAAATCGTAAGTGTATTATTAGCTATTATTTTAATTTTTTTGTTTTTAATGGAATATGTAGTCAAATGTTAACTCATAAAATCATAAGTAGAGATCAAAATTATATTCATTTCAATTTTCATATTGAGTATATTATACACAATTAAAATTTGCTTAATGGTTAGTACCAGGGCTGGTCTTAGGGGACTATGCGCCCTGGGCAAGGAAAATTAATGGGCCCTCTAATTAAAGTTAAGTAATTGAATTAAAAAACTAACATCTGAACTTTGAAGGCGCCCATGATATATCRGCGCCCTGGGTGGTCGCCCATGTGGCACGCCCCTAAAACTGGCCATGGTTAGTACCTAGGTATAAAAACTAAAAATAATACAATGTTATGTAAATGATTTATATAAATGTAATATGTAACATTTAATAAGATATAGTATTTACAAAATTAAAAAAAAAWTACATGAAATAGAACTATAAAAATGGCCAATGGTTATAGTTTTATGAATTCGATTTGGTACATGTAGTATAAAATATGGATACATTATTGTGTTCAGGATTTGCTATAGAGTATGGGAATCTATCAAATCCATGACAAGCAGCACCATAACTTCCATACTTATTAACAGCTATAATTGCTCCACTAAAGTCTGGATAATAATTGGCAATTGTGTCTATGGCTAATTGAGCTGCTTCTGTTGGCATATGGCCATACTTCATTGCTTGAACTGCATGAAAACTAGTATAAAAAGKAGAAAAATATACAAATTAATTTACTAAAGATTAATTTATTAATTATTTGGTTATTAAAAAATATTAGTATCACCTATTCACCTACCTTGGTAAAAAACGCATTAGTATGTCTCCATCGCCTGTTGCTGCAGCAGCACCATAGGTGTTCATAGCATAAGCACCAGATCCAGGAATGGGAGAGTCACCAACTCTTCTGTAGTTTTGTTAATATAAATTATAATTATAACTAATGATATGTTTAATATTGTTATATTAAATCTTTACGACTTATACCTAATATTACTAAAAATAATCAAAATCAAAATTTAATTATGATATGAAACATTTAATGTCAACTGATTTAAGCACCAGTTTCTAATTAGATGATGCCTAATTTGTTTAAGTAGTTTGTTAATTTTAGTTTAAAGACTATATGTTATCATGATACAGCAGACAGAAACCTGTTATTATAATATTTGTACATTACTTACCCAGGTATTTTGAATTTGGCACCATTTGTAGATGTTCCAGCAGCAATATTACCTTCATGGTCAATTGCAATAATTCCAATAGTATCATGATTTTTTGAATCCACAAGATTTAGCTCAGGTTTTGAATGTTTTGGAAAATTTGGTTTGTAGGGTCCACAATACTTYTTTGGATCTGGGCTAACATTCTATATTTAACATACATTTTTTAGTCCATTTAATGAGTCAATATTTTAATTGGATAACTGTAACTTGCAAGTCTGTAACAAACAATTAACAACATACAGTCCAAAAGTTTGGTTGACAATTATTAGATTTCCATTGTTTCCACAAGTTCAATGAATCAATTGTGCTGAGATTAGTTTCCTTAAAGCCCATTTGTATAGCAAATTGAGTCGCTTCATCACCTACAAGAAATGTATGTTTTGTGTTTTCCATCACAAGACGTGCTACTTTTGAAGCTGACTTGATACGTTTCATATGCCCAACAGCTCCCATATTCATTGTAGATCTATGGGTTTATTGTTTCAATCATTAAAACTTTAAGTAAAGAGTAATAAATAATTAACAAACCCATCAATGATAAGAGCATCTAAAGAAGTTTCTCCATTTTCATCAGGACTTCCACCATAACCAACAGTACCATCACATTGCTCTTGTTCACAAACTGTACATCCAGCTACAACCGCATCAATTGCGGTGCCTGTCATGTTTAACACTGACCAACCTAAATTAATGTTTAAATGTTAACAGTATACAATAGCCAATAGGCACAACATTAATTTTACTAGATAAAAGAATTGTTGACTAATGGTCCAGCTTTTTTTCTTAACAAATATAAATGTTAATTAAAATACTACAATTTGTATAGGAATCAATAGTTTTTTTTTATTTCTTTAATAATTAAGCAGGGGGTTGCTGGGCCATTTTTAGAGGGGGCTAAWGTCCTCTTCTGCCACCCTTTATGCAATAAAATCAAAAATAAATTGACAATTATTGTATCTGAAATCTAATTAATATTTAGAAAAATTAATATTCAATAGATGATATATCAATGTTTCCCTTAATATACCAACACAACAGCATTTTTACAGTATCAGAACATAAGAGTATTTTATGAGAACACCAATAGTCATATTGAGTTATTATTTATATACCATATGGTTGCAGGTTGTCATGATCGCCTTTATTAGTGAATGTGCTTTATAATGTACTTGTATAATGTGCTTTGTATCATACCGAAAATTGTTGTAATTTTATTATTGTTGTTGTTGATTAAATACTATACTATACTTAATAATGTTGGACTAATAATGAATATTTTTTAATGATATAGAGGAGCAAATTTTGAATAAAATATTGCTATATAGGGTGATTCGTCAAGCATGCTCACTTCTTTTATTTTTCAATAATGTAGTAATTCAAAGCCTGAGTTTTCGAATTTTGAATTGAGGCTATATTTCATATTATATTATGACAAATTCTTGAGATTTTAGAAGTACCTATTTAAGGACAGTACTGTGGAAATACAAGCTTCTGTTTTTCTACAGTAAATTATTTAGCAAATAAATTTTTTCGAAAATATTGACATATCAGAATCAAAATTTGTACGAGTAGTTTTTGAGAGAAGTCTTTGCATATCTACTGAAGATATTAGGTTTGAAATATAAAGTGGTTATGSTGATTAATATTAATTAATCAACATTAATAATTTATAAAAACGATTCGGGATATTAGATATTAATTTCTAGATATCTATTTAATATTTTTGTAAAACCATTTTTATCTAGAGTGAACCTTTTAGGGTCAAGTGCAAAATATTTTCAATCAGTTTTGAACAATATTCATGTGCCCAAAGTCGTAAACACTACATAGTACATAATAACTATAGTTATAATATAGGAATATAATACATTTTACATAATAGAATATTGTTATAACTTTAAAAATAGCATTATAGTTTTATAATTTTAATTTTTCACAAGCCATTGGAATTTGACCAACCCACCAACCTATGGCAAGCATTCTATTGGTTCACCAACCCAGATCTAGAGCATAAACATTTTAATAACTAAGAAACTACTCATCAAATTAGGCAAATCAAAATTTTTAAAAATATTATYTACTAAATAATTTACAGTGAAAAATAGTATAATATTGTACTTATTGACACAGGACAACTTTAAGAAGTAAAACAAATTAAAGAATTTTTAAAATTAAACAGAGTAAATTTTTAAATTCCAAGCCAGAATGGAACGAAAAACTGGTGGGGGGAGGTGAGCATATTTTATAAATCACCAAATATAATAAACAAATACATTTATATCACAATGATTGACACCAAAATAGAATATGGCTCATAGGAAAAACAGTTATGCAACTGCCAGCAGTCAACTTATTAAACAGATATATTAGGTCATTGAATTCGAATAAAAATTCAAATTTTCATAAAATACAAAATAAAYAATTTAAAGGTTATTTTAWACTTTKATGCGACCACAATTGTTTATTAAACATCTTATATAAAACTGTAAACAATAATCTTAATTTTAAAAAGAGTAATTAAAATTTCATTACTTTTTTTTGTCGCATCAGAAAACGCCCACGTACTGATAACCATTGGAGTATTATTAGTTAAACAATTATCTTTCATATAATAACAAAACAATTTACGAGTAATTACAATCATCGCGACAGAAAAACTTATACMTAATAATATTTTTTTWAAATAAAAACAGCAATTTTTTAACATTTTGATATTGACAAATATTAACAATTAGTAAAAGATGAAATATTATTGAAAATTATTGGAAACAATGTGATGTTTGATATTAACATTCAATGAAACAAACCTATACCCGTTCTCTGTTTTTCTTAGTTATAGAAATAAAATAAAATACTGAATGAGGCCAGTGCCCTTAAAATGAACAAACTACTGATAAATTAATACGGACACAGTAGAAACAGTTAATTAAATAAAGTAGCAATTCATTGATAGAGATAAATTTTAAGGTGTAAATATGATTTAGTCTATAAAAAGATTTAATATTTGAATCACTGAATTAGACAAAAATACTAAACTAAATCAAACTAATGCATTTGGCCAAGACTAAACGCATCACACATTGTACATTTTAGCCTTCGGGAACTAAGATACACCTATTTAATATTTATCTGAATTTACTCGTGATAGAATACTAGTAATAATAGAATATGAAGAAACGAAAAAATAATAGAAATAAATGCAGCAATAGTTTAATAGTTAATAGTAAATGTTATGATAATATGACAAGAGGGGTGACTCGTGAGTCGTGACTGCAATGTCCGAAACCGAATTCCGAGTTTCTGAGTATGATTTATGCAATTGTGTTTTTTATCTTTGTCGTTGGATATCGGACACAACACATTTGTTTTGTCAATATCTGTCACGGGACACTAAACAGCGTCGCAGGTCACAGGCTCAAAGCGAACAGCACGAGTTGACGGATTGAATATTTGAAATTTGAATAGTGATCGAAATCGGAAATACTAAGCATTAAGATTAAGCAATAAACATATGTTTATTGTTTATCATCATAGAATAAAACATACACTATCCAGTTATCAGTTATCACCCAGTTCCAATCACATTCCAATGTTGTGAATATTGAATAATAAATTATGGGATAATTTATTCTGTATCATAATTTTGTGACGTACCATTTAGGTGCCTATTTAAAAATAATATATATAATGTAGTTACTAATAATTAATAATCGAAAATCGATGTTCTCTTTTATTTATACGTATTAAAAGTAATTTCATTACTACTTTCATACAAAATTGTTATGGTGGCATACATATTATTAATTTCGCCCGTTACAGAAATCGTTGATAAGAAGATTATGGAAATCAGCTGGTAAACAAATAACAGGTATAAACATAAAAAAAAGCTAAAAAAAAAATAGGTACAACTACTACAACATATTTTCGAGATGCCTTCGGGACGTGAATGTTGATGACGATGATGTGAGGCGTGTGCGTGTGAATGCGTCGTTTGTGCATTAGTTGTCGTACTCCGCGGTCCGTCGATAGATTTATTGTTATAAAGCAGTCAATAACTGCAATTACACATTAACATTAATTATAATTAATAATAATAATAATAATAGTAATAATAGTAACAATTAAACAATAATCGTATATAGTAGGTTCGGCAACGATTTCTTAATAACACTGATCAATTTTATAACTGATTTTCAAAAGGCGTCGTAGGTAACGTTTTCGTTTCGTCTGTCCGCGCGTGGGCATCTTGATCACCGGATATAGCATCGCACTAGAAACTGACCAGTTTTGCTGCCATCACTGTCCGACCGTTTGCCGCCTACACGCGACGACTACGACGCGACCACGGCAGTCGTACGACACAATTGTCATCGCCGTCCAAATGGTGGCCAGCCGAAGTCCAAATGCAGTTGACGACCRACTCGGCGGCAACCGCCAGCTATGCGATCCSGTGACGGGCAACGTAACATTTTGATTCAGGTAAAAAAAATCTACTTATCCGCCGACATTGCTATGCACTATGTAGACATTTGTCATTTACGCCTCTTGTCTGATTCTATTCCGTGCTGTAATCCACTGAGATAATTTGCAAAACTTAAGTATGTCTATATTGTTTCAACCTACTTAGACGTTTCCTATAAAACGTTGTCAAATACAATCTTTAATAATATTTACCACATCCACCTATTCTATTACACGTCCCAAATGTAGCGCTTAAACATTTTGAAATTAAATTATTCATAAAGGTATTGATATATCTTTAATGAGGTAAACAAAATTAAAATTGAGAATCAAGTGTTGTAGTAATTTTAAATATTGTTAATTTTATTTATTGTAAAAGTAGGTATTCCGTGGTTATTTGCTGGTTTGGTTAGTTTTAAAATATATAATATGTGAATATGCTTACTTACTAGATTTATAAAAGGTTTTAATGTGAGAGTAAGTAAGTAACTTGGTATCCAGTAGGTAAAATTTATGTATTAACATTTTTTAACTCGTGAAATTTCCAATGRAATGATATTTTTCCTTTCCATTAATATTGCGGAAGTTGTACCTAACTACAAATAGTTTTTTACCTATAGATTTTAGTAGAAAAATTTCATATAGGCACTTTGATCTATAGTGATATTTCTTATTAGTACTAAACTTAAGCAGATAAGAAACTATGAATCA